GACTCCATGGTCTCTAAGAGCCTTTCGGGCGCTGATGTGGCTTCCTGATCCTGAAGCCCAGCACTTGCTGTCTTGAGTGAAAATAGGGTGAGAGGGTGCTTTTTTGTCTTTTGTTGCTCTTTCGTAGAAAGGGAGAATGAAACATTATCAGGGCAGGATCGTTTTCTCCAAAAATATTCATTAGAAAATTCTGTAGCCTATTTTCAGTGGTATTCTGGGCTTCAGGGAAATAATTTTCACTGTTGCTGTGCTGTGATTTGTAAAACACTGTCAAACTACTCTGTCTGTTAAAACTCTAATTTTTCTTTATAATTTCACAGTGGACCACAATATTTTCTTGTAAGGTTAAATCCATCCTTCTAGCCCACTTGTACTCTTTGTTCATGGAGTATGAAGGAGCTTCCCCTAGCCAGTTCCCCTAGTCTAATAGAACCTGTAACAGCGTGTTTGGGGGAACATTGAAAGGGGGATATTTAATCCAAAGCCAATCAAGTTCTTTATCAAGAGAAGATAATGTTTTTACTGTGATATAAGGACCCTGTTCCCCTGGGGGGAGGGAGAAGAAAAGAGGGCTGGGGTGCAATTACTTCTCCCTTAATGTTTACTTTGAACATAATTCTAGATGCAGGCAACACTTAAAAACTAGACCTTGGATATCTAGAAATTGGAAATTGCTCATGTCAGGCCTTAAAGTCTTTAAGAGCTAGGATCATGCTATGGTTATGTCAGTACTTCCCCAAACACTGAACGTGATGTGTTATATGTATTTGGCACTTCATTCAACAAAAAGTTATTAAATGTATCTTTTCTAATACCATTTCATATTCTGGGCAGTAGCTCCTTGGGGAGGTGGTTGCCAGATGAGTTCTGTAAGTGTCCACCAGTAGAAGAGTTTTTTACTGCTTTCCAGCTGGTTAGGTTAGGAAAAAAGCATAGTTCTGGAAAAGATCTTTCATTGAAGTGATAGAACCAGTTAGACAACATTTCTTTGTCCTTGTATTAGCTTGTGCTTCATAAACAACATGTAAATGTGTGATACTTTTGAAAATTTGAGAATATTTTCCAATTGCCGAAGGAGTGTAGGGGGTGTGTGTGGGGGTATGTGTGTATGTATAAAAATCCATTTGTAATATTCGGGAAGCCAACTAAGTCTCATTCTACTCAAGCCCATGGGAGGTAGATAACTGGAATTTCTTTAACCATTTGAGGTTTGCAAAAGTGCTTTGCTTACAACCTTGTGTGGTGAATAATATTATCCCCATTGAGAAACTGAATTTTGGGGATGATATTTTTTTAATAGTCTGGGTAGGGACTAGAGTATAGGATTGAGGCCAAGTCCTCTGACATGAAGCCCCAGCCCTCTGCCCACTCCATCACACCACCTCCCATTTACAGCCAACCCTGACAAATGCATTATTTGTCAAAATCTCCATTGCTGCAGTAGAATGTATTGAGTTAGAGATGGGGCACGGATATCATTTGAATGAAAGCTTCGTAACACAGAGAATGGTCTTGGTTTAATTTAGGTAAGGACTTTCTGGATCAGTAACCCAGGATTGTCCTCCTCATCGTTGTTTTCAGTTTTCTGCACGTGCTGTGTTTTCCTTGTAAGGTTTGCAGTCTTGCTGACAGAATCTTTCGTAGGTGTTTCTGCTATGAAATCAGTGCACTCTGTTTTGCTTCTTGTGTCTGTGCAATTGTAAAGTCTTCGTTACTGGAGAGGTTTATGGTTTAGCTCGTCACTGTACTGTGTGGGTATGGATTGGCCTGCCTTTCCCATGGCACATTGATAGCTTCTCAGGAAGTTGTAATTAGCATTCCATTTTCTTTCCATGATGGTTGTCTCTAATTACTTCCCAGCTCCCAACCTGGTTCCCAGCCTCCTCTGGTCATTGTAAAATACCTTGCCCTTTCCTTGGGTACTGTTTTCCTCGAGCCTCCCCCCACAGGACCATCTTCCCATGTCACAATCTCTTTTTATCCCAGTGTTACTTCATCTTCACCACTCTTGTCTTCTGTGCACAGATCACTTGGCTAGGCCCCAAGCACTCACTACCCAGAGTTTAGAGAGAAGTGTCCTGTGTCCTTTCCCAGGCTAATCTCACTTGGCCTGCTTGAGGAGCATATTCTGCCCATACTTTTCTTTCTAAGAGGCCTTTTAAATCTTTCCTGGCTTCTTGGCTAAACTGACAGGCTGGGGCTTCTTGTTCCTAAAACACCTTCCTTAGATTCTGCTTATCTCGTTGAATTATTATTTTGTTTCTCACCTCCCCTTTACCATTTAACATCTGAATGTAGTCAGTCAATAAACATTTATTAAGTGCCTGCCACGTGCCAGGCTCTGTGCTAAGTGCTGGAGATACAAAGAAAGCCCCCCATCCACCAAGAGGGTCCCTGAGCTCAGGGAGTTCCCAGTCTAATTACAGAGACACCTTGAAAACAACTTGGTACAAATGATAAACTGGAGCTAATCAATACAGGGAAGATACTGTCCCATTAAAGAGGATCAGGAAAAGCTGCTTGTAGAAGATGAGGTTTTAGCTGGAAGTCCAGGGAAGCCAGGGAGTGGAGATGAGAAAGCCAGGAAAAATGCCTGCAGTCAGAAGATGGAATATCTTGTGGGAAGTTAGTGTCACTTGATTGAAGAGAGTATGTCAGGTCTAGGTGAGGACGGGGACTGACACAAGGCTATGAAGGGCTTTGAATGCCAGAGCATTTTCTGGAGTTCGGGGAGGGGGAGGTGTGACGTGACCAGACTGCGCTTTAGGAATATCACTTTAGTGACCGAATGGAGGAGACTGAAATGGGGAAAGACTTGGGGCAAGCAGACTCCACCTGCCCCCACCTTCTTCCCCAGATGAGGTGATGAGGGCCTAGACCAGGGCGGGACAGTGTCAGGGGAGAGAAGAAGGCCGATTGGAGACAATGTTACAGAGGCACAAGCTGCCAGAGATGCTGCAGAGGCAACAGCCTAGAGAGAGGGAGGAGTCCAGGATGAGCCCTAGGTTGGTGGTGCTCCCTGCAGGAATAGGGGAAGGGCTTGGGGGTCTGTTAGGGTTAGAAGTCAAGTTTGGACTGAGTGAGTTCAGGCTATCCATGTCTCTGCATTTCTTCCTTATCCTGTAACTCATTAGTGCCATCACTGTCACTGCTGACACTGCCCTCTGAGGGCAGCTGAGAATTTCCTAGTGTTCAAATCTGTGACCTAAAAGCTGTCGTCCTAGTTGAACAGCTCACTTGAAACTTTCCTTCCTTGGCTTTGGTGAAACTCTAGCATTAGGAGGAGAATCCTCAGCTCTGCTATTGCCTCGGTAACTTAGGTGATTTTCTACAGGTATTTTACATGAGGCAGCTTTGCTGAGGTATCATCTCTCTCCATTCTTTTACTAAGGCTTTGTCCATTGCCCTTTTCGCTTGGCGCCTCTCCCACATGGGAACCTCAGCAAATCCCATGGATTGAAGTATCTATGCAGATAACTCGTAGGTCTGTGTATCTAGCTGTAGATTCTCTTGATCCTGGAACATAGATTTTTCTTAAACATCGGTGAACTGATTAATCAGAAGATAAGTCTAGAGAAGCTGAGATTGCTTGCTAAGTTTTAGTATCCCAGCAGCAGTCAATCAGCATTTGTTAAGAGCCTACTGTGTTCCAAGCACCATGCTAAGGCTAAGGCTAAAAATATGAAAAAGAAACACATTCCCTGGCCTTCAAGGAGCTTACAATCTAATGAGGGAAGAGAACACCAAAAAGGAAGCTGAAAGGAGGCAGGTAGGAGGATAGTGGAGGAGTCAGCCAGGTAGGAAGTGGGGAGCTGTCTGAACAAGACCAGATCCTGAACAGGACCCTCAACTCTGAAATTCTCTGCATCTCTCCCAGGCTACATTTTTCTTCCTCTTTATGAAGGACAAGGAGCTATGATCAGATGCTTTTTTTCAAGATCTAAATTGCTAGTCAGTGTGGATTTTTTTGGTGATATATAGAGTATGAGGATTTGATTATTTACTCTTGTTTTGCTTTAGTAAATAAATGTCTTAGATTGTTAACTCCTTGAGTATACTAGTATTTGTCTCACTGTCTGGTCTCAGCCCCATGCCCAGACCCATTCAGAACAAAACTATCTGGTATTTTTTGTTGAATGAATGGAGCTCATTATAGATGAAGAAAATCACCTTAAAAAGGAGAGAGCTTACTTTTTTCCTCTTTGCTTCAGTTTCTTTATCTGTAAAATGATGGAGTGGGAGTACTAAGTGATCTACAATCCTTTTTAGCTCTGAAATTCTTTGATTTTTATCTGGCATATCAGCCAGGTAACTTTCTCAGCCATCTATAACTTGCCAAAGAGGTTTGCTTCTATCTCTGTTATCTACTTTACAATTATAGGATAGGGCAAAATAAGTGCTAGTCTTTCTTAACAAGGTGTTGGTAAATAAGTCTAAAGATTTTGCATTTTTAAGACACTACACAAACCTTTTGAAAGGAAAATACTCACTGGAAGAATTTTATAAAATTATGTGTATTGGCTGCAAACTTCTTTGCAGATCTGTCTTAAAGTGCAAAATTTATTGTAGTCTTGTGAAATGAAAAATATCATTAGCTGGTTCTCATGGAATTTCCCTGTTAATAAACCAAAATAAATGAATAGATTTGCTATCCCTTCCCCTTCCCCCCCCAAAGCGCTTGAGACTAAGAGGGGTTCTTGACCCTTTTTATGTCCTGGACCCCTTTAGTGCAGTCTGATAAAGGCTATGTATGGACCCCTTCTGAGAACGTGGTTTTTAAATGCATAAAATAAAACAGGATTACAAAGGAAACCAATTATAATGAAATAGTTAAATTTTTTTTAAAAACAACCCAAGTTCATGGACCCCAGATTAAGAACTCCTGATTAGATAGATACATTTTCTACCTTCAGTGAGCAGAAAGATTGGTGCTTTTGTGTTCAGCTATTTGATACTTTGATGAAAAGAAAATAATGTGCCTTTTCCCCTTCTTTCTCTAGGTTCAACTATAGATCAACACATCATCTTGCATCCCATGGATTCTATGAATTTTTAAATTGGTTTGATGAAAGAGCATGGTATCCACTAGGAAGAATAGTAGGTGGGACTGTAAGTATATAAGGCAAATTTTTGTTAATTTTATAAATTAGTAATTATTTTATTAAATCTGTTTTGGGAGAGTATGGATACTTGCAGGTTGTTTGCATCATAAATATTGATTTTTTTTAAATGATATAGTTTGTATTAACCTTATATTCCTGTGTTTTAATTTGCTTCTCTTGCCTTCTTTTGGGCTTTTGTATTACTTCCTAGTATTTCTGGTATGTAGTTGAGGAAAATACATATAGTGGGAATTGGTGTATGTCTATGTCTTATTGGATAGCAGCTTTCCTGAAAAACTGACTGGAAGGAAGCAGATGTGACATTTTTAAGTTTTTGTTCTTTATTGCTATAATTGAGAATGGGCCACTCAAGATCAGCTGTCTGTTATTCAGAGTTGGTGTGTTAAGAGGAATGAGGGAAATGCTGTAGCTCTAGCTTACCTAGATTTTAGCTGATCTTTTAGCAAAGAGTCAAGCGTTTTATGTTCTTCTTGGGGAAGAGCTGGAGAGATATGCTAACATGTGGCCCTGCAGCAATAGTCTGAAGAGGGTGGTGGGCTGCAAGTGCACCACCAGCCGTCTGAGGGTGGTGCCTAAGAGGACTAGAATGAGCCCTTGTCCAGTGGGCTGGCCTGGTTCAGCATTCGCTGCTAGGGAAAGAGAAGAACTGACAGGTAGGAGTGAGTTCAAAAAGAAATGGAAGGGTTCTAGGAAGTCCAGTTCTACCCATTGGGAAGATGGCTGGGCAGAGTTTGGGGTAGTTCAGTGTGATGCTAATTAGTTGAGGTTGGGAGGAGGGAAGCCATGCCAGTGGTGTCAGAAGACCTGGGGCTTTCAAGCCTTTTTTAATGAAAGGACCAGAGATGGATAGGAACTTTGAAATAAGAACACTGAAGTTGAAAAAACCTAGAAGAGTAGATTTGGAAAGAGATGTGTGATTATGTAGTGGTACTTATTAACATTTTAATAGGGTGGAAAGAAACAGACATCTCTTCAGATCTTTTGTGTCTCCAAAGGGTAATGGGGAGGTTAATGAGGAAAAATAGAACTCCCAGGAGGTGGGCTGGTTCTGGCCTGGTTCTGTTGGGAGAGTTTCAAAGAACAGAAAGAGAAGTGAAGGTAAAAGGAATACACTAATGTAGAAAGGAAGAAGGGAGTGGACGTTACTATGTCTCATTATTACTGAGGTTCAAGTAAAGTGTGTACACACATGAAGAAACAGTTGGGTAGAGAGAGTGGATCTGATTCTAAATGGTTGGAGGAGGGTGAACCCCATAACCAGTTGGGGTGTAGAATACATGGAACTCAATAAGTAAGTAAGCAAGGCCAGAGTGGACAATAATGGAGAAAGAGCAAAATAAAACCCCTTCCTGGTCATGAAGGGAACATGAAGAGAGCGGTGGGGAGTAGAGAAGCAAAGAATTATTATTGAAGGGCTGCCTTAAGTTGTCGCCTGGGGAACAGCCGAACAGACTGTGGTCTGTGAGCGTCTTAGAGAGTCTTATACCATTAGCAGTGACCAAAGCCAAGTTCAGAGAACCCTGGGGAGTATTTATGCCAGGACAACCACAGTGTGAAAGATAAACGACTAGGCCAGTCATGTCTCCAGAGCACATCTGGTGGAGCGAGCCACCTTCCCCCTGACAGAGGGGCACAGACTTTTGGGCTTAGTAGCCCCTGTGTAAAATCATTTTGCTTGACTTTACTTCATTGTTATTAGGGTGTTTTTGTTTGGGATAGAAATGGGAGGGTTACCAGTAAGCGTGTCTCCCTAGAATTAACAGGAGAGGTCAGAAGGAAGCATTGATGAGCATGACAACTTTGAAAAAGAATTTGTGTAATTTGACATATTTTTAAAAATTAAAAACAAAACCAAAAAACCCTGAGGTAACTACACAAGCTGGACCTGGAGTCAGGAAGACCTGAGTTCAAATCCAGCCTCATGCACTTTCTAGCTGTATGATCCTGGGCAAATTCACTTAATTTCTGTTGGCCTTAGTTTCCTTAGCTGTAAAATTGGGATAATAATAGTACTATTTCCCTGAGTTTTTGTGAAGATAAAATGAGATAATAATTGTAAAGTATTTCATAAACCTTAAAGCATTCTAGAAATGTTAACTATTATTAATTTTAAAAACCAACTTGTATAAAATGGAGGTTCATGCTTCATACACAGCCCTCTTTGTGTTTTGCTGTGTGTATGAAAATACTTTTTTTAAGTTCAAAACAATAAAATAAGAATACAATAGGAAAGGAATACATTTGTATGTAGTTTTGTGTTTTTGTTTTTTACTATTAGCTTTTTTTTTAGCGCTTTTGCTACTTAAATATTGACTTAATTGGACTTTTTTTCCTTCCTAGGTCTACCCAGGGTTGATGGTAACAGCTGGCCTCATACATTGGATTTTAAACATGCTGAATATAACTGTTCACATAAGAGATGTGTGTGTGTTCCTAGCACCCGTTTTTAGCGGCCTTACATCTATCTCTACTTTCCTGCTCACCAGAGAACTGTGGAACCAAGGAGCAGGGCTTTTAGCGGCCTGCTTCATTGCCATCGTGCCAGGCTACATCTCTCGTTCGGTAGCCGGATCCTTTGATAATGAAGGCATAGCCATTTTCGCCCTGCAGTTCACATACTACTTATGGGTAAGTAGTGGCTGGTGCTTTGTGTTTGCCCCCAAGCCTGGTTATTGACGAATGCCCGGGGGAGAAGTGGCAGTGTTGCTGCCACTGGGTTCCACCTGCATCGTTGTCTTAGCTGGTAAAAGTCCACGAAGAAGTGTCGGGAATCCTGTGGATGCTGCTGTGAGCCTAACACTCGGGATACAAAGTCCAAATCGTCTTCTTGAAACCAGCACTCCTGGTTTTGCTTTTAGCCTCAACCTGTTGTTGAAGTGAAGGTGATCTCCTAGGTTTAGTCATGCTGCTTGTCAGGGTTATTTAGTAGTTGCTCTCCATGGCATTTACTTAACTTTTCTCTATAGATTCTTTACATAGAATGATCTGCATAAAATGGCTTTTCAGAAATAGAAATCTCCGTAAAATAACACTTGTATACGTGCACTAAAATATTTGCCAGTCTCCTGGTCGCCCGTGTGCCTTGGCACTGGCTATTCTCCACACTAGGAGTATTCCCTCTTCTCACCTGAGTCTTCAGGGCTCGGCTCAAGGGCTGCCTTCATCTGGGAAGCCTTTCCTTACCCCCTATGCTTACCATGTAGACATGGTGCTTTCCATGTGAGCTCCTTGAGGGCAGGCAAGGTTTGGCTTTTGTGTTGACACAGTAGCCAGCTCAGTATCTCTCACATAGGTATGAATAGAAACTTGGCGATAATGCATCAGAAGTCTGGAGTTATCACAGAGCTCTGTAATTACTGTTCAACACTTTTTAACAAATTTTGTGAGAGTAAAACAAAACTTTTAGGTGTTAAATGAATAGGCACCTCTCCCCCACACACACACAGTAATTTTGAGTTTAGAATGTTATGTTCTGGCTATTTTCATTAAGTCTTTGAAGGTTCCACAGTTAGCACTAGAGAGAACATGGTGGTGATAGTAGAACACTTTCTGAATCTAGATGTGGAAGAGGAATACTGTTCAAGGGTATCACGGAAAATGTTTTTCAGAGTTGTATCCACATTGTTGGCTTCTTACATTTTACACCAGTTGGGTAGACATAGAGTTAATATTCCCCTCTCTTTCGACCTAGAAATGCTGGTTTTGCTGTTGCCAGCTCATGCTGTCATCCAGGGTTAGGGAACCTGCAGCCTTGAGGCCACATGTGGCCTTCTAGGTCCGTGGATGCGGCCTTTTAACTGACTCCAAGTTTATAGAACAAATTTATTAATCCATTTATTCTGTGAAGTTTGGATTGAGTCGAAGGGTCGACAGTGAGGACCTGGAGGGCCACATGTGGTCTTGAGGCTGCAGGTTCCCCACCCCTGGCATAGCGGTATTGAAATTTGAATTAAATTTTTCTTAATAGGTGTTTCAGAGCAGCGCTTTTCTGGTGAGAGTGATTTGGTGGTTAAAAGTGCTTGTCTTTAAGGAAAACCTGGTAGTTCTTCTGGGTAGCAACACCTGTGTTGTCACACATTTCACAGCAATATAGACTGCTGACTAGGTCATTCGATGGAGTCTTTATCCATGCCTAGGTGATTCTGGGTGTTTTTTTAGTCAGTTCTGAAGTAATTGCAAGAGGTATTGGTTATGGTATTCAGAAGTGATGTGCTGAATACTCACAGAGCTTGGGAGTTTGTTTGGGAAACTTGTCTGTTAGGGGGCTGTAAGGGACAATGAATCCTTCTGTTCCTCGGTCACTGCTAGGGAAAAATGGCCCCAGCCACACCAAGGCTGAAGGGCAGGACATCCTCTATGGGAGGGGATCTTCCGAAGCTGGATACTTCCCCTCAGAACTTGAGCTTGGCTTCAGATTTTAGACCTAGGGCTTCACATGTAGTTGCACTGTTTTGGTATGTATGATATGAGTGCGAGCACTACATTCGCTCACACTTAGTTACTCCTAAGAGTCAGCTTCAGATAGTCAGGTGTCATTCTCCCCCCACTTCTCTAGAGTGATACAACTTGTTCTTCTTTCAAACTGGACGTGGTAAAATTTAGGAGTTCTGACCCCCCTTTGAGGGTTCCATTTTAGGAAGTTTTTCCATATCTACTAGTCCATGCATTCCTGACAAATCCCACCAGTGGCCATTTGGCACCCTCGTCCTTGTGGCTGAACACTTGAAACACTAGTTGGTGTGTGTATCAGAAGGTACGTTCTAGGTGGAGCAAATAGGGAACAACTAAAAATATTTTTGAAATTAAAAGGAAAAAAAAGGGCCTGGATTAATTCATTAATTGAGATTGTGTCTCCTTACCCAGCCCATTCTGGAAGTGCACTGGCTACTCCATTTTTTCCCACCTGGGCCATTGGCCTTTTGGGCCACCTAATGGCCTGATTGACTTTAGCCTCAGGGGAGCTCAGAAGTCCTGAGCTCAAATGATCCCTGCCTCAGCCTTCCCAGAAACTGGCGATCAGAAGGTGAGTTCATTGAGGCAGCCGGCTGGTGGCAGACCCAGCCCTCGGGCCTGCTCTTCCTATTCTGGCAGACAGCCTTTAGCTACTGCTTCGGACAGTGGGAAAAAATTGGGGAAAACTGGCTTCTTGAAGAAAAAGTAGTACATGTGTTTGAATAAGAACTGAGCACATTGGAGACCGCTAGGTGGTACAGTAAATAGAGCACTGGCCCTGGAGCCAGGAGGACCTGAGTTCAAATCCAGACTCAGACACATAACCCTCACTTGCTGTGTGACTCTTGGCAAGTCACATAACCCCAATTGCCTCATGGGAAAAAAAAAAGAACTGAGCACACTGCTAGAAATTTTGTAGTCAAATGGTGATAGCTTAAATGTTCAAATCACAAAAATCAGGTTTTTACTTGGATATTTTTAGGTACTACTTGGTTTTTATTTTTAAAATGTATGATCAGAAGGACAGACCTACAGCCATCGATGTTTGTTTGTGGTGTAGGTTCTTCCACTGTCGTGTCCTTTCTTTTCTAAAGAAAAGTACTAACCAGTTAACGCAAGTAACAAATTTGCATGCAAAGTTTAAGGCTTTGTGTTTAGCTGGAGTGACACAGGGAAATTATTTCAGATTCTGAATGGTGTTTCAGTGTCTGATCACCACCTCCTTTGTTGTGTGTAAAAGTTCTTTGGGTTCTCTTAAATGTGTATATAATTTCAGTATTCAATTATGGTGGCAACAGTACTGACCAAATAATTTAAACTGACTATACAGCTTGTCTTTGCAGCAGTCTCTGTGATGGTGTTATACCGTGTCTGTTCAATGAGGAGGAAAGAAATTAAAATAAACACAAAGTCACATGTGACTTTGTTCTATTGTACTTTGTTATCTTATAGCCAAGGAGATAGATTCTACTTGCATGTACTTTCTTTTATTTAGTTAAGAGCTGTGTTTATTAGAGGTTGACTATTCTAGTTGGGCCCTTAATCACCGTTTTCATCTCTTAGCACTCTTATCACCTCGGTTTTCTCTTTCCTTCTCAATCTCAATTCTCCAAGTACCTCTGTGGTCTTTGTATCTGTCGGCTCTTGCTCTTCTGCCTATAAACGTGCACAGATATATTGAATAGAATCTGTAGATTGTCCTACTGTTCTCTGTTACATTTTTTTTCTGCAGATTGTCTTTCTCTATTTCTTCACCACTTCTAACTGGTATTTCAAATTGTACTTATTCTCCAAGTAGACCAGTAGACCCATAATGGCCAAAGACTTGATCCTCATCCTCCTTGACTTCTTTTCCAGTTTTGATTCTGTAGATTAATGTTCTCAAGTGTAGTCCAAGGATCCCTGTAAATCCTTGAGATTCCTTTAAGGAGATCTGTGGGTCAAAACTATTTGTACAGTATTACTGAGATGGTTTAATTTCTAATATGGTAAATATCAGTGACATAACTCACATAAACAAAAGCTCTTTGGGATTCTTGATTTTTGAAGAGGGTAAAAGATTGTCTTTAGACCAGAAAGTTTGAGAACCACTGCTTATACCATCCCCTTCCGGAAATTCACATTTCTGTTGGTGCTGGATCTGTTTACTCTTAACTCCTCCAGAACGATGTATTTGGACATTTTTGAGTCTAGAGTTGTCTCATGTTCCTTTTCCCTTCCTATGTTACTATCTGCTTTCAATGGCTTCTGCTGTCTCTTCTCTGGATGTATCAGATCTGAATCTGTAGCTTTGATCTTTCTCCCAAGTGCCAGTTTTGCACATCTCATTGGCTATTTCCTCCTTGAAACTTAACAAATCAAATCCTAATTTATCTTCAGAGCCAGAGCCAGTAGCTACTCCTGATTTTCCCTCTCTTTATAGTATCCCCACTCACGAATCATCCTTGACTAATGCCTCTGTTACTATTCACATTTAGTCATTTTACTGTCACTTTCCTTTTTGCAGTGTCACGTATATTGACTTTTTTTTTTCTATTAGCCTTACCGCCCAAGCTAATTCCAACCCTTGTGTCACATCTGATTGTGAGAGTATCCTACCTGGTTTCCTTTTCCAGGTAGCCTCTAATCCATTCCATCAAGCACAGTACTGAGTTTTAATCTTGGTAAAAGATCACTTTGGTCACATTACTTCCCAGCCCAGAAATCCTCCACTGCCCCTTCCCAGGAGTTGAAGCTCCTTGACTTGGCATTCAGGATGCTTGATGACCCAACTTTGTAGCCGTGTCTTTTGCTGTTGCCTTCTGTGAGCTCTCCATTTGTATCAGGTGGATTGAACCACTGTTGCCCAGTATAGACAGTCTTCCATTTCCTCACGCTTTTGTCCATAATCTTCTTGTGGCCTCATCACATCTTGCCCCCCATCCAGACCCACCGTAAGTCTTTCTTGGAAGCTTTCCAACTTTATTCTTGGATTGGACTCAGCCAAAGCCTTCTGCCCAGTGGTAGCTGTGAACAGCGTCCCTTTGGGATCTCCTCATCGTAGTCGCTTTTCTGTGTGAACTCTGATTTTTGATCACTCATCCGTTTGGGTTTACTGGGAGGGAGGGAGTGAGTGAGCGGTAGAAGGCGCTGGTTTAAACCTTAATTGTGCCAAACTGCTTTCCCATTTTCCTACC